CAGGCTTGGGGCGCCCGCCTCGGGGAGGTGCGACCGGAGCTGGGGGCGTAACCCGGCCCTAAACGTTTACGTTTCCTTCTTTTGAAAGGTTGAATAACCCATTCTTGCCTCAAACAAATAGGCTGCAGCCAAAGATGGCCCCGTCTGCAATCTCAGGTATGTGCAAGCGTTACCTTCTTTGTACGGTTTTCATCACTTAGTGACAGTCATTTGCAGAAGAGTCTACCTTGATTTTATGCAGACAAAGATTAATTTTGCTTGTCATTCTAACGAGCATCGTCGAAAATAAGCGTGGGCAAATATATTTTATTGTGCTTCTGGAGGGTTAAAACCTCAATTAACCGCTTCGGTGTTCCATGTCACGGTGCTGTCCGTATGTTTTATTCTGTGTTTTTTGGAGCCAGTCACAGATCCTTCTGATCCTTACTAAAAACTTTTTCCTTCCTGAAACAATCCCTGACATCCTTGAGATTGTCACATAAAAGTCATCCCATCATCTGATAATACTAAAAAATTGTTTTTAAAAAAGCCCCAAGAGTAGTCTTGGAACAAATCACAGAGGCTCGGTTCCACGCACAAAACCTGGGTGCTGCAATATACATACACCACTTCAGCAAAATATAAACAGGAATCTGAAAAATTCTAGACCATATATGGAGGAGAGTAGGTAAAATAAACACTGAATGCAAAGAGTAAGCAAAAGGAAGTAACTTTGTCTCTTGGCTAACCTTAGGCACAGACTTAAACCTTGTTCAGGTTCAGTAAAGGCATTTTGGTGTCGTGGCATTGAACATGATTACGTTTAATGGCTTCTGTCATGTTTTATAAACCCAAATCAAATGTATAAATTCTGCATGTACTGTATGTGAAAAGTGAAATAGTTAGAAATGGGATTAGTAATAGTTAGAATGCTGAATGGGAAGATGCCAAAAATAGCAGGAAAACAGTTAAAAGGACAGTAGGCTAGAAATCCTTCTTTCTTGTATGCGGGAACTTATGTGTAGCCAAAAATGGTGAGTGTCCATGGAACTGGAATCTAGGCCGTGGAACCCTGTCTTGCACAATTATTTCTTTTGCATGGAAACCTTACTCGTTCTTTTCTTTTACAAGACAGTTGAGAAATTATAGGAACTATTACCTCTTTCAGAGCATCTGCCCATGAATTTAATGCATTCCTCAGGGACATTCAGATTTACTTGTTCCCTCTGTGGGGAGAGCATCCTAATCACTAAGGCACAGATTGCATGTGGTAGAGGGGCAAACCCTTTGGCCAAGCCTATGGTAATCTGTAGAATGAAGTGCAAGATCATACAGTCAGAAAAATCACATGGGAAAGAGAACCTGCCTGTATCCCAGTGGTTAGGGCATTCCGGAGAGCATGATTCTGGTGGTCTGATCTTTGTTTCTAGGATTGCTTGTCTAGATCTTTGGAAGAAGTACACAGGCAATCCTGGCAGTGGGGAATTAGAATCCGGGATGGGGATTTATTTTATTCGCTTTGTAATCTTTTTTCTTCTCCTTTCCTCAACAAATATTTAATCATTCCATGCAAAATTACCTTAAACAAGGGGCACTGAAATAGCCCTGTAGCACACAGTTCAGAATTTCTGGCCCTTTTTTGAGTGATAAGTTATCTGTCTTGGATTTCTTTGACAGCAAGGCTAGAATGGTCAATTCTACAAGAGCAGAATTGTAACTGCTGACCTGTCTGACAGTAAAAGGGTTATCTTGTCGAGTACTGACTGGATCAGACCGTGAAGGCAAACTGCAGAAAGGAGTATCTAGTTTGAGAATCTCAGTGAAACTTAAATACGCAGCACTGTTGACATTCTGAGCAAATGGGGTTTACTGGTATAAACTCGAGGAGTTTGGATGACTTTGGGGACAGACAGCTGCCAGTCAAGAGCTCTTGTGATTTCAGTGCTAGATTTTGGCAAGATCTGCACTGATGATTCCTTTTATGGATCTGGCTTCCAAATACTTGCTTGTATACGATTTTCTTATTTCTGTCATAGAAAGAGGCTTATCTATTTCACTGAGTATTGAAGATAAATTTTAAAGATCATGATGCCAACCAGTGTAGCACTAGTGGGAACTTACAGTAATCCATATGGAAGATACAAATTTTCTTATGTACAGCAGAAAACTGAATTTGTCACATACTTCTTGCAGTTTTGTCACCACAGTAACTTGCTTAAATTTAACCAAAACCTTATTCTTCCTTGATGTCATTTTGTGATGTTTTTAGGCCCTGCACATCTCTTTAGGCTTGCTGGCAAGTGTTTCAGTTTTGTGGAATCCACGTGAGTAACGAATTTGGATATTCAATTCTATGTATTTATTAGGAATAAACGAAATTTTTATTTCAGTCTGAAACATGTCTTAATTTCTTTTTGTTTTCTTTTTTTCTTTTAAGGTACAAGTATGAGTTTTGTCCTTTCCATAATGTCACTCAGCATGAGCAGACGTTTCGATGGAATGCCTATAGTGGGATTTTAGGGTGAGGCTTTTAGACCTTTAAGTTTTACCTGTGTTGTTAGCAGACCATTTTATAGATTGTCAAAAAGGAGGCAGTTTTAAAATTACGTTTCTTATATTGGTCAGCTTAGGTCATTGTAGTTCCCAAGGTGTTATGCATAAAAATACCCCATCTTGAAAAATTCAGATTTTTTTTGTTGATAAATACTAACCTCGTATTTTAGCTGGAGGCTGATTAATAACCAGCGCCAACTGCAGGGCTGATATGTTCATGTGAGAAATTCAACAACATATAACTACAGCTTATATTAACAGAGATTTAATGTCTGTTAACTGTTTGCACTTTGAGTTGAATATAACCTTACAAAATGAAATGAGTGCTTTATGTCTAGTGGTTGTGTTAAACATATTTAATAAAAGACTCAGTGTAGACCCAAAAAAGTATACCAAAGTATTCAAAGACCCCAGAGTATCCAAATCATAAGACCTAAAATAAATTTAATTATAAGCCAGAGCGCTGTTTTAAAATTACTGCCTTTCTGAATATTTTGTATATAGATGTCTCTTTTTTTCCTATGTATACAATAATTAGCGAGCTAATATGAGAGGAAAAGGGTACATCAAGATGCTGAGAGTATCATTGGCTTTAGGACTAGCAGAAGGAGAGACTATTTTTTGTAGGTGCTCTCACCAGCACTAAAAATCCTGCAAACAATCTGAGTTGCACCGGGTACTTGGCATCATGGAATTTGTTGTGGGATTGATCTATAAGCTGTATTTTATTGGATTTAAACATGGATTTGTAAGTGCAAGTGGTTTGCAAACTAAACTGATCCAAAAATGTGCTCTCAAAGTAATGTTGATGTGCCCTATATAGCAGCCTGGATAACAAACTACACTGTTTATAAAGGCTTGGCTGTAAGAAATGGAAATACTAAGACAACAAAAATGAAGTATATACAGTTAAATTGAACATGGTGCAAGGGTATTCCTGTTTTTCTTCCTGAGTGTTCACCTTTTTCTTTCCAGTAACTTAAAATAAAATTATGTCCTGTTTTCTCAGAATCTGGCATGAATGGGAAATTGACAACAACACATTTGTTGGAATGTGGATGAGGGAAGGAGACTCATGTGAAACTAAAAGCAGACAGACAAAGGTACAGTAACTTAGACTATTCTAATTCAGACAGCATGACTCTCTACACACACTCATGACACTCGACACCTTGAAGAAGTCGTCGTTTGAGATGTGATATAAAACATAAAGATGAATTCCTGTAGGAGCTAGGTGAATGGATGGAGGAGGGAAGCTAAAATCAGGATAAAATTTTGAAGAAGTTTACTTACGTATTCTCATTGGTTACTTTTAAGGTTTTTTTTTTCCTTGACAGAGTGGAATATTCTGGTATTATCACCACTGTAGAAACATACAGTGCTTTGTAATTTGTGTTAGGAAAAATGAAGAAAAAGAGCTATTTGTTGAATTCAAGATGCCAGCCTATTGTGCTAAGAACATCCAGGAGAAAGGAGGGAAAAGAATTAGGCAGTTAACAACGCATGCTGAGAAGCTAAGCAAGGTGTTAAAACAAGAGCGGAGGGCATGCAAGGAGAATTAAGGAAGGAATCAAATATATGGGAGTGGTAGAGGAACCAACTCAAGAGAAACAGGTTCTGGTGTGAGTACATTTTAAAGAAAAAGTAAAAATTCTTATTTTGTGGAGTGGTTAAAATTTCCTTTCCACATTCAAACAGTCTCTGTGCCAAGTAACTGTTCAACTAGAAGGGTAGGGAAGGGTGTCTGAGACTTGCCCAATTTGCACACATCCTTTATCCTTTTATTCATTAATGTTTTTCTTTTTCCACCTCCCATTTCAGTGTGTTATGCAGTTTTACAGATATAATGAATTAAACCTCAGATTCCCTGGTGACATAGATCGCTGTCGTGAAGAAGAGTTAAAGATACCATATAGTTCACAACAGGCTGCTTTTCATGTAGAACATACTTAGCTGTTACAGTGATGGGTGACAATACAATACTTAAGATAGAGGTGTATATAGTCGGAATAATAACTAATGTGAAGATGGGATAAGGGACAAAATATCTTGGCCAAGGTGGAAATATTCTGTACAGTAATGGAGGTGCCTTGCTAACATCTTTATCTCTCATAGGAGCTGCAGAGAGAATTACTATTCTTGTATGACCTTTGATACTGTGATTCAAATCTTTCACTGGCATTTAGTTTTGAACAGACAGAAAATACTGATGCTGTGAGTTTAAAGATGAAAACAAATTTCTACAGGCTAGATGTGTATTGTGCTCTTGATTTAGCACATTGGTCAGAATTAAAATTTAAGTGAATTATGCTTATGTCAGGTGAGGTCCTAAAGGCTGTCCTATTCACCCTCCTTTTTACTCTCATTCTTGCTGGAAATAGGGTGCCTGGGAGTCCAAGGAACAATGATAGGTGGGGGGATCATTTCCCATTGGAGGAAGCAACTTTCACATTTGATAAAATAATTTGAAGATGTGCTTGCTATGACTCTTTTTCTGTGGGTGACAGCACTGGAAGCTTAGACATGACAGTATGTACAGAAATGCATCTGCTAGCATTGGAAGACAGCAAATTGATTTTCAGTGGTGGTCCTGTTTCATGTGGAGGTGTTTCATCTTTGTTTTTACTGATGTTTAGGTTCATCTTGTCTGTGGAAAGAGCAATAAATTGGCTTATGTGTCTGAGCCGAGTACTTGTGTTTACTCTCTGACATTTGAGACTCCTCTTGTGTGCCATCCTCACTCTCTTTTAGGTAAGATTTAGAAATTCATTTGTGTGTGGAGCAGCTGGCATATTACGCCAACCTCAGAGTGTAAATTTTTAGGTTCTTCAAGTTTGGAACTTGATATAAATGAGTATTAAATGTAATGTATAATACGAAGTGTATTTTCAATCCCAGTCATTACAACACATAGGTATTTCTCAAATAAATTGTCATTGCTAGCATACACCCAGGGAGTGATTTTTTTTTTTTTTTTTTTTTGCTTTTTTTCTTGGACTGGTCATAGGAATCAGCCCTGTAGTATCTGTTCATTTACTTACATTACAAAAAGGGAGAGGTCAGTTAGAATTACATTCAACAAAGCAATATCAGGCCTTCCAGCTGGAAATAAGAGAAAAATCCTTGGTCGATGGCATTCTCCAGAAACTTTAAATGTGTGAAGCAGAATTTAAGTTTAACCCCAACTCTTGAAAGCAGTAAAGACTATGTACTGTATGAAACAAATACGCTTGCATGCTATTAGAGGAGCATTTAACTAATGCAGGACAGTGCTATTGGTTTTTACATGGTTCGACTTCCATTTTTCAGTTTATCCAACTCTGCCTGAAGCGCTACAAAGGAAGTGGGATGAGGCAGAGCAGCTTCTGTACGATGAGCTCATAACTGACCAGGTTGGCTAATTTCTTCAACTCTATTTGGTAAAGAAAATTACTGTCAAATAGCCAAACCTGGCTTCTGCGGTTTCTCCTTTTGGAATGAATGCATTTATTCCTCTGCTACGAGGCCAGGCTGGGGGAGCTGGGGGTGTTCAGCCTGGAGAGGAGGGGGCTGCGGGGAGGCCTGAGTGCGGCCTGGCAGTGCTGAGAGGGGCCTACAGGAAGGGTGGGGAGAATCTTTTTAGCAAGGCCTGTTGGGACAGGACAAGGAGTAATGGATTTAAACTAAAGGAGGGTAGATTTAGACTGGATATAAGGAAGAAATGTTTCACACTGAGGGTGGTGAGGCACTGGCACAGGTTGCCCAGAGAGGCGGTGGAGGCCCCATCCCTGGCAACATCCCAGGCCAGGCTGGACGGAGCTGTGAGCACCCTGGGCTGGTTAAAGCTGTCCCTGTCACTGCAGGGGCTGGGCTGGGTGGGCTCTAAAGGTCCCTTCCCACCCAAAGCATTCTGTGATTCTATGATTCTATGATTCTATTCTGCATTTAGCAAATAGTAATTCTTGTGCTCTGTAACTGCTATATCATCTGGTAACTGTAACGTTTCCTACAGCGAAGCTTGAGGAATTGGAATGGCCAGTGCAAATTACAAACAGAGGTGAGAGTCAGGCGGATTGATCTATTGTCTTTTTGAAACTTTATTTTTTAGGGATACAAAAAAATACTGAAAGAGATTTTTGAGGAAGCAGGACTTCTGAAAGCAACAGAAGAAAAGGAAGTTGAGAAACAGAATAAGAAAATAAGTCTGGAATTTGAAACAGTGGAGAAGTGCAGTAAGGTATAGAGCGTAATATTTACAATGTGGAATTAACTTGCCACCTTTTTACTGTATGACAGTATCAGTGATGACAGCATTATGTAAATACTCTTTGGATTCAGCTGAAATCTGTTCATGGCAGTATCTTTTCTGGTTTCAATATGTAACGGTCTGCGTACAGAGTGATTTGCTATCTTTATTCTAGCCCTTGCGTCAAAAACAAACCAGCACAACTGAATGCCCCATAAGATGATGGGAGGGGTATGTAGGAATTAGCGTAGGCACTTGGGTTACGAACACCTTGTAAGTACTCTTTCTGGGAAATATCAGCCCGGAAATGGGAAGGAATTACTAGTGAAAGTCAATGTGTAACCAGCCTTGGGAATGTTGACACTTCTCTCTGTGGATAATTACCCGGATTTGTGTGAGAATGCGTTGGCTGTTACACAAGCAAAAGGCAGAATGATCTATGCCGTGTCTATTTGTGAATGATTTTCGTGTGTGTGAACAGTCCTTGTTGCAACAGAATTGAAATGGGGAAAATAGAGGTAGAAGGTGTGCTGAGCCTAAAAGAGTGCAAGCTGAACATCAAAAAAAGAGCACGGAAGGGAATTAATTCATTATAATGCAGAGAAGAAGCTGCTGTTGTAATTTTATTTGAAAATGTAACAAAGACAAAACACCACGTAGTAATTCCTGAATATAACCAAATAAACTGTGGTTAAGCTGGATATACTTACATAAAGATCACCATTTTGATGTGGTACTGTTAGGAGCTGGAATATTCACCTTTTTTTTTTTCAATAGTTAACCATACAGTATTTAATAGTTTGTACTTCTTTTTCTGGCTTAATCATAGCTTAATTGACATAAAAGTTGGCTGTTTTGGTAACCACAGAATCTTAAATAGTTAATCTTTTGTTCTTTCTTGATTCATGTAAAAACCAAAACACAAAAATATTGGGGCTTCTTCAAGATTTGAGATACGCAGTTTGAGTCTCAAAAGTACTAAGCAGTCCCTGGCTCTGTAAGTTAACAGAAACTGCTGAAAGTGAGAACATGAAGTTACTAGGTCAAGAGTTGAGGAGGTGACAAATTTCCAGACTGTAGCATTATGATATAAAATAAAATAAGGCTGGTCCTGTAGCAAACTTATGAATGCAATTTTGTGCTATAATAAAATGCTAGTTAGAGGATAGATCTGAAATAGTTACAGAAAGCACTCCTAATTTTTACTCTCAGGCTCGGAAAAAGCTGGCTCCTGTTTTGGCAACATAGAAATATATCTTTTTTATAAAATTTGCACCTTGTTCTTGGAATAAGCAGTTTATCTTTCAGATCTTTTAAGTCAAAAGCTGTAACAGCTGTGCACAAAGCCATTATTTTTTATAAACTCCCATTTTATGTATGCATTTGGAGAGTGGGACAGCCATTTTAAATGTATTTTCTTTCTTAGGAATACAAGCAACTTTCTAAAGAAATCAAAAAACTTAAAGATTTATTAAGTCAGCATGGTATTGCATACAAAGGAAATTCTGGTGAGTTTTTTGGTATTGTTCTTTTTCATTATTGTCTGTTCAGAATGTGAATACCCAAAGGTTGTTTTCAGTTACAGCAAGGATTAAATAATCTGTCATATATGGAGGTAAAGTTCAGTAGACAAAGTTTTTAACAAGTACTTGGGTCTTCATTGCTGCACGAGAGGACTTACTTTGCCCCAAAAAAATCTGCTGACGACTTGAAATTTTAGCTTTATAGAAAAACTTTGACTGCTGTTGTAATTGAAGTTTTTCTCTAGCACTGAAGGTGCCAAAGAAAAAGGAAATTGGTGTTACAGCATTCGTAGCACGTAAGCATCTTTTAAGTAACTCCATTTTCTGCATAGTCGACCACAAGGCCTGACTTCTTCAAGAACACTTGAAATGTTCTCTGTATCTGTTTGAATTGGTTTTATCCTTTCTTTGTCATCTTTTTTTCCTCTCTTTGATTTCTGTTAGGTAAGTAACATACCACATGCAGTTTTTTGAAGGAAAGACTGTTTGGTGCTGGCTATGAAGAAGCAATGCTTATCTGGATTAATTCCAGACAAGTTGTTTTTTGGCTTTGTTTTTGTTGGGGTTTTTTTTGTCTCTGTCCCCCACCCCTGTTCCTTCTAGTCCATCATCCCCACTATTACATGAACTGTTTGTCTAAGGAGGATTTAATTTCCCTGAATATATATTTACACCTTTTATGTTCAGAATTAGCACCTCAGGAAAACAATGAACTTTTGAGCTAATGAAATTAGTTTAAAATTAGTGACGTACTTAATTTTTTTTTCTTTTTGTTTTGAGAAACTTTCTTCTCTGTTTTTTTAAAATTGGTGACTTTCTTTCTAGGGAAAACTCATCATACTGGAATTTTTGTAAAACATTTTAGCTGCATGTTTAAACTATTAACTGTGTAACTTCCACAGTATTTCTGCCTGTTTGGTAGTTCATTTAGTTATTGCAGGTTAGAACTGTGTAATAATTCACAGCTTACTCTAGAGGACTTATTTCAAAACTATTTAATGATTTCTGTGACAAAAATGTTTTGGTCTTTAAAAGCAGAAATAACTGATGTCTTTAAATATTACAGCTGAAAATAGCAGTGTTGAATATGTAAGCCACAAACTGGCAACTGCAGTGACAACTGTTCTTAATGGGTCAAAGGATGATGAGCATCTGCATGGCGATACAGGAATTTGGAATGACACTGTATGAAGAAACTTGGGTGGTAAACAAGTTCATCCGGAATGTCAAGCAAGGTGAACGTGTATTGTGGCGCTAAAATGGTTTACCTTCTGTGAGTATTCTTGTCTTTCTGAATTTCTGCCCTGAAGCGAAGGGAACATAACGGAGTGAGGGCTCGCCATTACTGAGAACAGTTTCGGAGAACGTGTGTAAAACTTCTTTGCTAAGGCCAGTGTTGGGCATGGGTTTATAGATTCTGTGTCTCCGGTCCCAGCTTTGTTATTTTCTTTGATCAAGTATGGTAACAGGTGTAAATACAAAATAGTTCAAGATCAATACTGTAAGATGTTGTAGGAAAGGCAGTAAGTACAATATTAAGAACATGTTAATTCATCTGTACGCTAAAATGTTTTCTGTGCAGACTTTAGCAGAAAAAGAAACGTTTTCTGCCACAGCAGTGCGTAACGCACCGCTCCCCCCGTGTTCAGAGATTGATGTCATCTTGGGACAGCGGGTGGATAAACGAAAGCTGTTCGGGATCTGACGGAAAGGTGCTATGAAAACACCAACTAGTTTTAAATGAACAGTTGTGTTAAGGGAATACAGGGCAATTCTCTGTATGCGGTACGGAATAAAACGGACCCTTCCAACACAAGCTATGGAAGCGCTACTGTAGGAGCCGGCGGACGCCGCGAACGCCGTCCCCACTCGTTCTGCCTC